CCAACTCCAGTCCCAGGGGTTTTGACAGCCTCTTCTGGCCCCCTCGGGTACTGCACATGTTTAGTCCACAGACAAACACACAAGTGAAACACCCATACACATAAAAACAAATAATTAAAAAAATGTAAAAGGGAATATCTGCCAGGATCATGGGGATCCCATCAACCCTCTACATCTGCTTTTCAGCCATTCTTACTCTATTCCTTCCTAGGAGGCTGGTCTATATGCCTTCTGGACAGTGCTTTCTTCCCCACCATGGTAGGATTTGGCCAATAGGAGGCCATAAGGGAGACCAGAGGATGTGAGGAGAAAGGCCCTGTTGCCTGCCACCCACCAGCTTGTGGCTTGGCAGAATGGTGAATTGTGTGTGTGTTTGCCGGGGTGGGGGCTACATTTCTGCTTAGAAGCATGTCCTAAGAGCCTCATTTGCCTGGCCTTTCAGGCTCAGAGGCGATAATTCCCTTTTCTGTCATTTCAGATTACTTCACTTCTCTTGTGGGTCTCACCAGACCCTACCTACTCCTCTGTAGATAATTCCTCATTGTATTCTCTTAGTTATTCCATCTGAGATTTTTCTCTCTCCTTCAGGGGTCTTTACTTTGAAGGTTGTGCCATAGAGAAGGTCCTCCTCAGCAGTAGTGGGCATCAGTGCATCTTGCTGAGGGGGATCAGAAGTAGTCCAGGGACCATCTGAAGTTCTAATAAATGCACATGACAAAAAGCAACCAAACAGAAGACAAGACAACCATAGTAGCTCTCAAAGCCTGCTAAAACATCCACCTCAGAGACTCTACAGCTATTTAATGGAAGTACTTACTGAAGAAGGACTTCCCTCCATACATTCTCAACCTACTTTCTCCCTTTGACTCCTAGCCATGAAGGGTCAAAAAGTAGGATAAATAATCACAGCACACAGTGGAGATGGATGAAGAGAGACATATGCAAGAGTCAGACATGGCCAATGTATAGAGGCAGGCTAACTGCCTACAGCAGCCAACACAGAAGGCAAAAGTATTGATTGATATTGGTCACTAAGTTTAGTCATTGACTAAGATCCATCCGGAGACTTACAGGATTGCATAGATTTTTTCTATCCAGATGGTAGAGAATTGTGTTAACCACCCCCTCCCAAGCAGATTTATAGGCATTGGGGAAGCAGAACACCTCAAAATGTTTTTTGGAGTCTTTCTCACCAGTTTCATGATTTTAGGATATGCTGCAAATTAAAACTCTGTTGTATTTTTTAGTTACCTGTGCTATTGTTGAACTTACTTAGCCACGAAGTGTTTATTGGGGACTAATTCCAATGTAACTCTTGCTCCTTTCAATGTACTTTGAAAACTTACGCTTTGATATCTTTGATATCAAAGGTGCAAATAAGTTAAATATGAATGTATTTTCCCCTAGAAGGAAAATAGCTTATCACAGCCCCACTACAATGAGATTTAGTCTACCAGTTGAGTTGTAAATAAATGTTGATGGTCAAGATCAGGAAACTATAAAAACCATTATATGAGGATACCTTGTATGCCTGACTTGTTATACAAGTGACACATCATACTTTGCATTCCTTTAACAAGCTGTGGAATTCCATAGCCTGTGCAGGGTCACCTACCAGAATCATCACAATAAAATAATAAAAAAGAAAGCTGGGAAGAAAGAAAACACCAAGTAAAAACTGGTTAGAAAGTGGCTTTGGAATTCATCTTTGTCCAGTGATGATCAGCAGAGAAAGTAGGAATTCTTAAATCCTTCATGGAGAGACCCTTGAATATCTGTCCTTCATATTCTTTTCAATAAGGTCTCAAATTTTGAAGCATGTGATTGTCACTGTAGCAACTCAGAGAAAGGATGCTCCCAGAATATTTGCTGAATGCATGGCTTTGACTACACCTTCATTTCTGAGAAGAGGACACAGGCCTTCTTCCTTATTCTGCTTTGTTCTATGCCCAAATTTCCATAGGCTTTTGGGTCATCCATTACAACTATCTATGGGCAAGAGTTATAACTGTTACTGTGTGGATAAGAAGGATGGGACCCAGATGAGTCATTTGGCTGGTTGTGCCTGTTTTTGGCTTTGTTGGGCTGTGACACACATACATATAGACAATAACCTTAAACACTGAAGGGACTGGGGTTTTCCTAAGGACACAGAATGTGAGAGACCCTGGAGCCTTCCTAGAGACTGTGGAATGTGAGAGACCCTGGAGCCTTCCTAGAGACCATGGAATGTGAGAGACCCTGGAGCCTTTCTAGAGATTGTGGAATGTGAGAGACTCTGGAGCCTTCCTAGAGATGGTGATATGTAAGAGACCATGCTGTTTCCTGAGGCAGGAGATTTAACAAGGATCCTCTGGGGCTCCATGGGAAGGTCACTTCCAGCTCTCTCTAGGCTCACTGATTTCCCTGATTGTACTACTTTCCCTATTCACTCTGTTTTAGATACTTCCTGAATGCTTTTTGACTACTCAGGGATGCTTTAGCACACTCTACCACTTGTTGTCCCCTCTCTCCTCCAGATACACATGTCTGATCGCTCAGCTTTCTCAGCCTCTTAAACAGGAGCCAATATGGCATAGTTAACCTGTCAGTCAACTTACCTAATGACCCCATTTAAAACTGAGACCCTCCCCTTACCTGGTTTTTCTTTATCTTGAACCCCATTGCTCCTTAACAATCAGAAGAATTCCCAGCATAGAGAAGGTCCTCAACAGGCACAGTGAATTGACTTAAATATTCAAGCAGCCTCCATTTTAGTGCGATTTCCCATAACTGCTCAATCTTCTGCCATACCTGGCCCTAAGTGGGCTTTCTGCTCTTACAGCTGCTCTTTCCAGCTAGCTAGTTTGAGGTTAGACAGAAGGTTGGCTCTCCTAGACATAGTGAAAATGATACGAAGGGCTATGTATTTTGAAGGTATTTACAACTTACCCTAACTCCTCTTCATATCTCTATAATTCCAAATATGGCTGATACAAACAAAGAAAAAATAGTTCATTTGGCCTTCAATGTTGAGTTAAATCAAGTTTAGTTTTCATCTGTCTTATGATTCAGTTGGCTTCTGGAGGAAGAACATTTGGGTCTGCAACCTTCTTCTAACATATTTTCTAGGTGTCTTTGCTAATTGACTGTACCTCTCTGTGGGATCTCAGTAGGAAAGAAAGAGAAGAAGTCTTTGCTTTCCAGAATTGCAATGGGACCCAGCTAGGGTAAGACATATACTTTGGATGTGCCCAGAGTTAAGTGTTGGTTCTTTCCTGCTATCTCATTTGGTCAGTATATTGGTATCTCTGCATTTGAGCTTTGTGGAAAAAGATACAGCTTTCCTTACCCTTGACTGTCCATGACTACTCTAGACCCAGGGCTGGACTCAGTAATGTTGAGCTAGGTTTGTATCTGTATAGCTCAGTGAGGCAAGGAGACAACCATGCCTAGTGATGCCAGTTTCCTAAAAACACTGTGCCCTGGCCAGCCCAGCTGGGCCCCAGGCATCACTCTGGTCGCTGGCATTCTCTGGTAGCAACATCCCAGCCTGTTGGCTGGAGAGAAGATCACACTCTGCTCTTGCCAAGGCTGCTGATGCCTTCCCTGCCCAGTGACACAGGAGCCCATGGCTTGACAGAGATAATTTTCTTGTCACCAGGTCTGAACTAGTCATGGGAAGTCGTCTTCAAACTGGTGTTCTGAAACTGGGCCAAATCCTCAAGCCTGAGTTCCTGGGCTAGAGAGCTGGCATTCCCTAAAACATACCACTCTAAGAAAAAGAAAAATCTTAATACAACTTGCCAGGGAGTTTGGTGTCACTCTTTCTTTCTTTCTTTCTCTTTCTCTCTCTCTCTCTCTCTCTCTCTCTCTCTCTCTCTCTCTCTCTCTCTCTCTCTCTCT